TATACATATATATATATGTATATATAGTGCTAGATACTCATTTTCTTTGTTATACGCCTTAAGTTTCTGAGAATTTTCTGCTGCCTCATGCCAGCAAGGTGAGTCAGCAAAGTGACCATATGTGTGTACTGCCAGAGTACCTTATCCCTGCTTTATCCTTGTGAGAATAAAAAGAATATGGCTGCTACTTTACTTTTGTCTTCCAAATTTTGTGAGAAATGTCTTTATTACCCGTCTAGAACTATTTAGAGAAGAGAATTTGGGTAAACATAGAATTCCAAGATTAGCTCAATTGACTCAATACAAAACACACTAAACTCTAACTGGATGTGTTTGGGAACCTCAACTCAGTATCTCTAAACATTCTCTCTTGATTCCTCTTATTTTCTGCCCTCAAGTGTTTTGCCTTCTGATGTTCCTTATGGAATGGCACTACCACTTACCTAGTTGCTCAGGGTTAAAATGTTATAATCACATTTCGTCCTTCTGTTTCTCAGATCTCATATCAAATCCTTCTGTGAACACTACTCAGAGCTAAGGTCATCAGTGCTACCTTGGGTGTATGTTCTCATTTTCACTCTTCTCACCACCTGCATCACCAGCCCACATGACATCATCATATCTAACATGGGCACCTTCTACAGCCTCCCAGCTTTCCTCATGGCTTATTGCCTTGCATTTCTCAGTCTATTCTCCACGCAGTAGCAGGAATGACACTTGTAAGTGGCAAATCAGATGATGTTACTTCTCTGGTCAAAGCCCTCCTGAGATTTCCCATCACACTAAGAATAAATTCCTCAGTTCTTCCTATTGCTTCAAAGTCACTATTTGACCTCGTCTCTAGTTTTCTCTGTGTCATCATTTCCTACCATTCTGCTAGTTGCCTACTTCGCCCTAGCCACAGTAGTCCCCTTGCTATTCCTTAAATATTCTGAACACACTGTTTTCTCAGGGCATTTGTACTTGCTATTGCCTCACCCAGAAATACTATTTCTCCAGATACTTGCATGGCAGGCTCATTTATTCCCTTCATCCAGATTTCTGTTCCTATATCCTCTTATAGAGAGTAGCTTTTCCACTTATATCTCCACTCCTGAGAGGTTTTTTTTTTCAAAATAAGTATCCATATGTATGTAACCTATTATCCTGCTTTATCTTCCTTCATAGTGCTACCAAGCA